TGGATAGGCAAGGTTTCGAGCCCCTTGGACTTGCAATTCTGGAGTTTGTCAGTAGAGCTATGCGACTATGGGGCGCAAGTCTGTAGATACCAAAAGAAAGGTGATATAAAGACCTTCCCAAGTGGGTGGAAGTCAAAGGTTCCAGAAGCAAGAGTACGAGAACCTACTAGTGTGGCTGCGCCTCTTTCTGCAGCCTCGCCCCCTTGATGCTGCCCAGCCCACCTTGTCTTCCGAGCCAATGCCACAAGCAGCGGCCAATCCGCCTCCAAATCATCGCCAGATCAAGAGGACGCCAGTGACTCGCGGCCTGGGAATGTCGTGCCAGGAGGTGAGGGAGACGGTAGCACCTCAGGACCATAATTTTAACATCATTGGATTATATGGGGGTTATATAGGGGGTATATAGTGATAATACAGGGATTACATAGGTGGTGTATAGGGATTTAATAGGGATTATATGTGGGGTATGTAGGGATTATATTAGGGGTATAGGGGGAGATAAAGTTTGAAAAGCTCTCGCCCCCCCCCCCCGGCCCGGCTCCCCTTGCTAACCCTTGATTTAATTGAGTTTGTACGATGTTGATAAGATTTCAATTACCCCCAATAATGTTATAATGTTCGGGTTGTACGATAGCTACCCTCCCCCCCCCCCCAATATTAAATACGGGCGGGAGTATTTACCTTAGGGGGGAGCCCGTGAATATTAGGGAGAAAGTATTAAAATGGTTTTCCCAATATAGGTGGTTGTCAAAATTATGGTCCCTTTTTGGATCCTTATTATAGTACAGCACCTAATATTTAGGGTACCAAAAAAGGGATCATAATTTTGACATCCACCCATATAGTAACTTAAATTCTTTAACCGCAACCCAGAAAAAGGCTTAGAGGAGATTAAGATGAGAAATCTTAGGTCGTTGAGCCCTGCACCCCTGAAGCCTAAGCCCTAAACCTTAGGACTTTCCGGACATGGACTGAAACCCCCTAAATTTTCCAGGATAGCTGCAGCTTAAGAAGCCGTGGACTAGACTACGAGACATTCAACCTCCTAAACCTTTGAGGGTTTAGGGTTTCTTGTTCTGAAGAGGACTCGAGGGGTTGTGCCTTTGCTTCGGGAGGTTCAGACGGGCCCAACTTTGGACCCCGATCACTAAGCCGTCAAGCCTAAACCCCGATTGGTTTGAGGTTTAGGGTTTGGGCTCAACCCTAAGCCCCAATCCCTTGAAGCCCCTAAAGCCCAAAAAGCTCCCAGCCACTCAGGCAAGGTGTCCATCAGTGGTCTTGAGAAGCTGTTGGAGGCATCGGTAAAGGGTTTAGGTTTTAGGAAATACCTGCAGCTTAGGGTTTGCTTTGGGGGTTTGCTTTGGGGTAGCAGTTTTTGAAAGGCTTTCTATGGTAAATATTTTGGGGTCTACCTTCGGGGGTCCCAATTTTTTAGGGAATCCCTAAACCCTAAACCCTAAACTACCGCATCACACTTGTGAACAGGAGGGCTTCCAGACCTGCATGGCGCAGATTCTTGTCTACAGTTCTGACTGACCTTAGGGGTTTAAGGTTCAGTGTTTAGGGGTTCAAGGTGGTTTAGGCTTTCGGTGGTTTAGGGTGTAGGTGGTTTAGGCTTTATGTAGTTTAGGCTTTAGGTGGTTTAGGGTGTAGGGGTGTAGGTGGTTTAGGCTTTAGGGTTTAGACCCTAAACCCTACTGATGTTGCATGTGATCTTCAACGGGAAGGACTGTTGGGTACTGGGGACACCTTAAACCCTTAACCCTTAAACCCTAGACCCCAAACCTGCAATTTTCAAACGGAGCCAGGCGGCAATATCGGCGCTGCGGGGGCCTTGAGGATATCCCCAAAGGACTCAGGGGTGTTAGGTTTGGGGGTTTGGGGGTTGGGGGTTTAGGGGTTTAGGGTCTGACTCCCTCAGGTCTAAGGTTTAGGGTTTAGGGTCCACACCCTAGGGGTTTTAGGTGTCAAGGTGTGGGGTTGAGGGCTTAGGGCTCGGGGTCTAGAAAAAGCTTCGGATCTAGGATTGAGAGTTAGGCGTTTCGGGCTAACAGGAGCCTTCGATATCGCTCTTTTTGGGGTTCGGATTCAAGAATCTCCCCAGAAGTGCGGTACATTTGAGAGTCCAGAGTCTAGATAGGTATTTAGTATGAAGAGTTGAGATGGTGCGGTGAGTAGAATACCCACATCATGCTTTCCTTGCCTGTAGCCACTTGCAGCCCCCCCCCCCCTCCCCCCGCCA